AAGCCATCAATACCGCACTGCGTTCAATAATAGAGAGAAAAATAGCACAGATAGTGCGGGTGTTGAGTAAGTAAAATGATCGCTCTGTTGACGGCATGTTTGTTTTTTGCAATCCCTGTGCGCGCGCTCAATTGCATCAGAAAAAGCGGGCGCGAAAACTGTGTTCGGCCACCTTAAACCTTTCTTTAATAGTATTGTGGTAGCCACGTTCAATTAAGGTTTGCCTTTGCAGCAACTTGGCTTTCATATCCATCAATTTTATTAATCGGTTCTTTTTCCCTTCTTGGCCTCTTCGCTGCCGGCCCACCAGCTTTCAGGCGGTGACTTGACTTAACTTATAGCCTACGAACAGGCTCCCGGTGAGGACGGAAAAAATTTCGGCGCACGCGAAACAGAAGAATTCGGAGAGCAAAGCGATCGGGGCGGGACGGGGGAGCCTGTAGACTTTGTTTTTGATGAGCCTATCCGCCCTTGGTGATAACCCTGAAACAAATCAGCCAATGAGGTGATTAGACCTGTCAAGAAGCTACATTTTCGGTACTTGCAAACAGTTCTAATCGAGCTAATCAAATAGCCGGGCCGGGCGTCATAATATAGAGTGCAAGTAAGCGACATGTTCACGGAATATTTCAAAAACTTTGTCCCTCCAGAGCCAATACTTAGAGAGCTTAAAACATATTTTGCAAAACTGAAATGAGCCTAAAGAAATTATGAGCACATGATAGGGGTGTCAAACTGTGGTATCAGACTGATAGAGGTGTCACAAGCAGATAACAGCGGAAAGTCGGAAATCATACCTTTGACCTCTAAAAAAATTGGTATAGCACCGCCAAACGGCTCCACTCCTACTCCTACTCCCACTCCTCTACTTAAAAATTCCTCCTTGTAACAGAGCATAAAGTATCCTTCAGAATCACTTGAGAAATAACGAGAGGTCGAGAACGGCAAATACACTATTGTAACGAACCGTTGGAGTATACTGCAATTATATAACTGGTTTCCGATTTACGTTCTCGCTGTTAAGATCTGATAAAATTTAGATCCGTATCCGTGAAACATGACGATCTGTTGGAGTCTTAGGAGCCCTATGAAACATGCCCTGCAGGGTAATCTTCTTTAGAGGGCTGTGTTCGAATTCGCTTCGTTCTCTCAGGAAGTCAGTTTCTAAACGGAAAATGGGTCATAACTTAAAGCTAAAGTCAGAGACGCGAAAAAAAGGAGCGCAAGTCGATTGTACAAAATTTACACTTTAAAACAGTGAAGAGTCAAATATCAGGAAGTTTCTCGTGCCATTGTGTCCCGGATTCTAACTCCTATCCGCTGTTGCCAATTTTATGTACAAAATATAACCAAAAGATCATCTGTGATGTGTTGATTCTCTTTGATACGGAAGAGAAAAATCGAGATTTAGAACTCAGATCTTTCGTAAAGTGTTTCAGCTTTAGCTGAGCTGTTCCCAGTTAGTTTCAACACTTAAAATAGAAGTTCTGGAAATATTAGTCAGTATTTGCCTATATGCGCGTATAAAACAAAGAAAACAAATTTGCATATGTTGTAAGAAACCTTTAATTTTGTTGAACTTACTAAGTTTGTAGCGTAACTCAATAAAGTATAGTAATTATAGAAACGTGCAACGATGAAAAAAGCTAACGTATTGCTCTTTGATCTATAGTTCAACATCAATTCTACCATCACCCCCACCATCCCCTCCCCCACATCTTTTCATAGTGGGGTCATTCTTTTATTTTGGAACTAAGTACCACTGATCGTCCTCAGAACAAATGAAAGGGAGTTTTTTAAGCCCACGCTTTTTTCGTCATTTGAAGCCATGAACTGTAGACTACACCATCGATCACCAGACTGATGAGAAAACAAACTTGACTAATTGTTCGACATATGCCCTTTGGTGATGGGAATCGAGCCAATAACAGAACGACATTCGTAATAGAACGCTAGTGGAGTTATACTAAGAGGGAATAGGTGATGACTGATAGAAACCTCAAAATAGACAGCGAATAATCTAATTACAAAATACCTATGCGTCGACCGAAATCAAAGATTCCATTATTAAATTTCTTCCATAAGCTCTCCCTCTCAAGCACACTCTCCTTCCCCTTTTACAAACATAGGCCAACATATGTACTTCTGACTGGCGGAAAACAAGCGGTCAATTGTGATTTCAAGTCCGTACTGCGCAATCTCAAGAGTTTGATTGCGTTTTTTGTTTTGTTTTATGTAAGACATCACAGAATGTAAACATTTCGCAACTACTTACATGAAGTAAATTCAAAGTTTCAAAACAACTGTTATTATGGATGCAAAGCGGTAGAAGATTTATGCTTCGTTCTTTCTTATATCACTTGATGAAACAACTTCCCAGCTGTAAAAATCAATGAAGCTGTTGGAAAAAGAATTTGAAAGGCCTCAAAGATAAGGTATGTGGTTCGTAACGAGTAACATCGATTCGCATTCCATCGAGTGAGAATAAAATCTAGACAGAATAACTTCAGCCCCTCGCAGATTGTTGGGGAACAGTGGCTGTTTTAATATAAGGGTGCTGAGACTGCGCAGTGCGGACTGGAAATCATCTTTAAACCCGAGGCCTGAAGTAAAGTAATTATCCTACTTTACATTAGTTTCAATCCTTAGATTATTAATGAAACACTTTAAAAACCTACCTTTGTAAAAATTCAAGGAGAGTCCAGGGACTTGATTAGCGTGATTTTATTTAGCAACGTCAGGACGGTCAAAAATTGCTTTTATACTCTGCCCAGCGGAATTTACCAAGATATTTACAAACTAACAAACTGGAAGCCTACAAAGACCCAACGACGAATGCACCAAAAACCTGACAATGGCCTGAAATACCATTCTGATCTGCAAACCAATTTGGTTTCATTTCGATCTATGGAGAGCGTTACAGAAAGCGGTGCCAAAGAAAACGTTGAACATCCCTTACAGATAATTGGAAAATTAGAAGCAGAAGTATATAAAACTTGAAATCGAAAATTCCATAAGTTGGTTTACCAGTCTCTGACGCAGCTCCATGTCGACTTTTTCGATTCTACGGCCCTTTAAAAGGCGTTAGAGCAGTTGAAAAAGCTCATGTTGTATCTTAAAGCATTTCCCCATTGAAACAGAAAATGTCTTCCGTAATGTGACAGACATTAAAATGTCATCACTGTTATTTTATATTTTCTCTCCAGTCCCCCACTAGTCTGGAGGTCCTAGAGGTCGTGAAGTTTTATATTATTTTAGCGAGCACGTCCTTTTCGTTTCTGCTACGACACTTCAGACAGCGATGGATACTGGCGTAAAGATGCCTCATATAACATCAGAACCAAAACACTACGAAGAAAAACTTCTCAAGACATCTTCTGTATTATCTGCCCTTTCGATTTTGTTGACGTTTGTCTTGTTCGCAAGAATCGAGATAGTGGCTCGTAACACGGAAACGATGGATTCAAAGTTCACGCAGCAAATTCAACAAATGCAAAAAGCTCTTGACAAAGCAGCCATTCTACAAGACCCTCTGAAAGGGAAGAAAGATATCGTTTTTGGTAGGTGACAAGTATAATTGTGCAATCCTAGGGGAAGGTCGAAAGAATCATCAGACATTCTGTATTTCTTTAGCCAGGCTCAGAAAAGGGATGCACGGTACTGTAATCTGCCTAAAGATAATAGAGTGTTTATATTTAAATTGGCGTATCTTTACATGCGCATGCCGTTTTCTTTACGTGGCAAGTTCAGTGCGCTTCTGGGAAAATGTTATCAGATATACCTGCCTTGTAACGCTATGCTACTGTGCTGGCATGCAAAAGAAACCAATTTCACATTTCCAATCGACTAGTACATCAATCATGTCACCTGAAGATTTTAAAGTACCAACGATAAAATCCCTAGATTCTGTTTAGGGAGGGGGGCATGGGCTTATGGTCATTATTTCTACCTAACCTATATTTCATGGTTATAAACGTGCGCTTGTTTCCACACTGTTATAAAAATCTGTTCAGACACATTAGAAACCAGTGACCTCGTATTTCGTTTCGTGAATTACGGGTCAGATATGATCCCCGAAACAAACATGTTCCCTTATGTGACCGTAATAAGCCACTGAAAGATTAGCATCGTAGAGAGATGAAATTTCATCTCTCTTACAATGCTCTATAAATTCTGTTTGAAATCCGGCCGAATCAAAAAATTAAACCGTAGGGAAAGTGTTTAAAATGTATTTTCTTCTCTAAAGGCACTGAATACAAAGGTACTATTGTTCGACGAAGCGTGGTCCCAGCAAACATTAACGGCTCTGTCGGTACACAAGATGTTCAGCACATGATCAAGAGATATGTCACATCGATAATCGTTGGATCTGTCTGCCTTGCCCCTGGAAAAGTTTGTGTATCAGGGCCCCCCGGTCCTCGCGGTAAACGTGGGCCGAGAGGAACTAAGGGAAGAAAGGGAACGCAGGGTATCATGGGACCTCCAGGTGAACAGGGGAAGCAAGGCATGATGGGGGACACTGGACCAGCTGGAATTAAAGGAGAAAAAGGTAAAGGATTT